AAGTGTCGGTGCCAGTGTTTTCTGGGAAGAAATGGTAATTAAAAGACACAACAGAGAGATCTTCATGGAAGGGACAAGCAGAAAAAGAGAGAAAGAATTCCATTCTTTATTAGTTGTCCATGAGAGGTACACATAGTATGATGGGATCAGCTAGAGAATTCTTCTATTAATGATCTGGAATAACATCAGCAGAACATGAGACATATTTTATAGGCACTTAAGAGCATTTGAACAAGTACTTATCATTAATGAGCACCTACCATGTGGTAGATATTGAGTCCTGGGTGTTCAGTAAGTATTTGTTTCTGTGGATGAACAGATGGACAATGGATAGATATGAAGAAAGGAGGATGGATAGACAGGTGGATATGTGGATAGACAAATAGGAAGATGAATGAATGGACAGAGATAGAGAAGTGAGTAGATAGGTGGGTGGGTACAATATGGTTGGGAGAATAAATAGTAGATAGATGGGCAGATAGATGATGGATGGATAGATAGATAGATAGATAGATAGATAGATAGATAGATAGATAGATAGAGACAAATAGCCATGTCAAACCCACCCATTCAGTCAGCAGCTACAGTGACATGCAAGCCTACCTTTGGACCCTAGATTGCTAGGTTTTTTGGTTCTTTATTGGTGTTTGTTTGTTTGTTTGAGACAGAATCTCACACCATAGACAGACTGACTTGCAACTCATTATGCAGTCCAGGCTTTCAGCAAACTTACAATGCTCCTGTTTCAGCCTCCCTGGGGTTTGGATTACAGGTATGGCTAGCTCTTTATTGAGGAACACACTCTACTACACCCTCCACCTCCAGCAAGAGCTTTTCAGTCAGTTTCTGTGTATCAAATACCCAAAATGTCCAACTTAGGAGGAGTGAAGGTTGGTTTTGGCTCATAGTTTTAGAGACCTCAGTCCATGACAGGGCTGTATTGCTTTGAGTCTATGATGAGACAATCCATCATGAGATGGCCAAAACACATGTTGGAGCAAGCCATTCACTACATGGTAGGGAAATGAAAGATGAAGAGGAAGGGACAAAGTTCCATTCAAAGTCATACCATCTGTGGTCTAACAACCTTCTGCTAGACACCAACACAAAGGTTCTTTGGTCTCTCAGCAGTGCTACCCTGGGACCAGGATTCTAACACACATTCCATTAAAGGACATTTCAGATCCCATCTCCAGGACAGCTAGCCATTCCTAACCCTGTCACTCAGTGCCAGCCAGTGTTCTGAGTTTTTAGATGTCTCAATTCACTTAATCCTCTGACAACTCCTATAAAACATGGCAAGGGAAAGGCAACCCAGAAAAACTCAATAACTTGATTGGGTCATCAAATCAATAAGCAGCTACACAGGGTCCAAGGCACAGCAGCTACTTTAGAGCCAGACACAAACAGGAAAAGTGTGTCAAATGGAGGAAGTTGCTGAAATAAAGGGCAGGCTAGGCTATGGTAATTGATAACCCTTAGATCTAGGTGGATGGTAAAGATAAAGAACCGTGGATCTGTCTTGAAATAGGTTTCTCTGCCTACCACGGACCTGATCTCAATGGGACTGGTCACCCTCCCCAAATGCTGCAGCACAGCCAGCATGTCCCTTGGGATCTACCCTCAACTGTGGTAGTGGGAAGACATTGGATTAGTCAGGATACCTGGACTGAGCCTGATCCTGGTCTGGGCTAGATCCCCCACTTCTGGGCCTCTATGCTACTCCAGTAAAGTGATGAGGAATGGGAAGCCTGTCAGCTGGAGCCCTCCACTGAAAGGGAGGTGAGGCCAGGATAGGTCGGGCAAGGAGGCGAGTGGAGAGGAGCCAGATGAGACAAAGGCCGAGAAGCAAATCTCTGCCCGAATGCCATTTTGCTGACAGAATTCCTGAGGCCATGTGGGCCTCTCTGCAAGCTATCCCAGATCTTCCCAGGAAGGTTGTTTGCCACCATGGAGGTTGGAAAGGTCTCTAAGGTCAGAACCTTTCCATAGACAGAGTCTCTCCCTGAGAGGCAGGGGTGGGGAATGAATCCAGGTTAAGTTAGAAGGGCCCTCCATCCTGGCTTCTAGGATTCTAAACTTTGGGAGATCCCTGGAGACATGGAAACTCTCCATTTTTGCTCCACATAAACAAGAGGTGAAGATGCCAGTTCTAGGCCGGGAGTATATAACAATGGCTCCAATGCCTGTGCTTCTTTCCAGCTCACAGCTACTCCTCCAAGATGGGTATCCCCAAGTTCTCATGGACGCCCACATCCATTCTCACCCTCAGCACTCCTATTGCCTAGCTGCAATAACCAAACGATCTTCTCAGAACCCAGATTCAGCTAAGCACTGCCCATGGCCGTCGAAGGGCCCATGGTAGTGAAGTCTCCCCATATCCCCTCTCCAGCACCACGCTGCTGTTCCTTGCTTGCATTACTCTTCAGGAAGCACCTGTTATCTCCTGAAAGTCACACTGTATAGCCCACTGGCTTCTAGTAGCTTTGGTTCTTTCATCCCAGATGCTCGTTTCCAGCCCACAACACCTCTCTCTGCCCACCTGGTAGCCATCAGACACCAGCTTCCTCCAGGAAGCTCCATAGTCTGAGTTAAATGTTCCTTAGAAATACTCCCTGCCCCTAGCTTAACACAGCAGCACTTACCGCCCACATTAGCTCCATGAGGACGCTTATGACATGCCCACAAATGATCCACAAATCTCTGCCTGATAAATGACCATCCAACTCCTTTTTTGTCTTTTTGTTTTGAAACAGGGACTCATATAACCCAAGCTGCCCTATAACACCCTGTATAGTTGAAGGTGACCTTGAACTCCTGATCCTCTTACACACACACACACACACACACACACACACACACACAAACCGCCTCTCAAGCTCTGAAATTACATGGTTTTCGAGCTCCTGGCTGTCAAACTGTTTTAGGATCATTAAATAATAGGATGTCTGTATGTCTTAGGATTTACATTGCTGTAATTAAACACCATGGTCAAATCAACTTCTGGAAGATAGGACTTATTTCAGCTTGCAGTTCTCAGTCACGCTTCATCGCTTAGGGAAGTCAGGACAGGAACTCAAGCATAGGAACCTGGAGGCAGGAACTGAAGCAGATGCCATGGAGGATCACTAGTGGCTTGAATGTCATGGGCCCCCATAAGCTCACAGGGAGTGGCATTATCAGGAGGTGTGGTTTTTGTTGGAGTGGGATGACCTTGTTGGAGGAAGTAGGTCATTGTGGAGGTGGGATTTAAGGCCTCCTATGCTCAAGCCATGCCCAGTGTCTCGGTTCACTTCTTGCTGCCTACGGGATCAAGATGTAGCTCCTTTCCCACTGTTAGTTCCTTCTCCAGCACCATGTCGGCCTGCATGTTGCCGTTTCCCATCATGATGATAATGGACTAAACGTCTGAAACTGTAAGCCACCCAATCAAATGCTTTCCTTTATAAGAGTTGCTGTGGTCATGGTGTCTCTTCACAGCAATTGGAACCCTAACTAGGAGAAACACTTTACCAGTTTGTTTCCCTGAGGATGAAAGTTTCTGTCTGCCTGGTCCTGCATCAGTTCAGTACCAAATAAACACAGAGGCTTATATTTATTAAATACTGTTTGGCCTATTGCTCCGGATTATTACTAACAAACTCTTACAACTTAAATTAACCCATAATTCTTATCTATGTTTAGCCATGTGACTTGGTAGCTTTTCTCAGTATGGCATTCTTGCTTCCTCTGCATCTGGCTAGTAACTGCTTCTCTGCCTTTCCTCTTTCCAGAATTCTCCTAGTCTGATAGTCCCGCCTATACTTCCTGCCTGACTGCTGACCAATCAGCATTTCATTAAACCAATAAGAGTGACAAATCTTTAGAGTATACAAAAGCATTATCCCGCATCATTTCCCATGGCTTGCTCAGCTGCTTTCTTATACACCCCAGTACCACCTGCCCAGGGATGGCACCACCCACTATGGGCAGGGTCTTCCCACAGCTATCACAAATTAAGAAAATGAACCACAGGCTTGCCCACAGGCCAATCTGGTGGGGACGTTTTTTCAACAGAGGTTCCCTCTTCCCAAATGACTATAGGTTGTGTCAAGCTAACAAAAAACTGGTGGTGTCATCTTCCCATCCCTGTAACAAAGACCTGAAATAAGCAATGTATAGAAAGGTTTACTGTACTCACAGCTGTAGTGGTACAGTCCACAGTCAATTGGTTGCTTTCAGTCCAGTGGTAAGACAGGTACATCATGCCAGGAGTACGTGATGGAGTCAAACAGTTCCTGATGGCCAGGGAGTAAGAGTGGAGTATACCTCCAGCACACATTCCGAATGTTTCCTCCCTTTAGGTCCCATATCTTAAAGGTTCTACATCTGCCAGGGGTACCATCTTGGGGACCAAACCTTTGGGGAACATTGCAGATCCAAACTGCAGCAGACACTACAGCTCTGGCACTGCCGTATTAAACAAGCTACTCAACTTTTGGGAATCCTTTTACCCAAGCATGGAATGAGGAGGCTGGACAGGCTTCAGAGTGCCTTGTATTTATAGTATGTAGCAAGTCAGCAGGACTGGAGACTGACATTATCATCCATATTGGACAATCATTAGAGATATAGTTCCAGACCCCACCAAAACCCACTGAAGTTTAATGGACACCCCAGTTTCTTTCTTTCTTCCTTTCTTCAGTATTTTGTTTAGCTTTATTTTACTTATGCAAATGAATGTTTCCCCTTTGTGTATGAGTACACGCACTATGTGTATGCCTAGGGCACATGAAATTCAAAAGAGGGTGTTAGATCCCCTAGAACTGGAGTTATGAGTGATTGTAAGAAACTATGTGGATGCTGGCAACCAAACCCAGATCTTCTGCAAGAGCAACAGATGCTCTTAGAGGCTAAACCATCTCTCTGACTTCACTCCCAGGGTTTCTGATACAGGCATGCAAACACCAGAAAAGCCCACATATGCTGTGAGTTGAGCTGTCCCCTTCTGACCCCTGCAGGTAGATTTTGAAGATGTAATTGCAGAGCCTGAGGGTACCTACAGCTTCGATGGTGTGTGGAAGGTGAGCTACACCACTTTCACCGTCTCCAAGTACTGGTGCTACCGCCTGCTGTCTACACTGCTGGGTGTGCCACTGGCCCTGATCTGGGGCTTCCTGTTCGCCTGCATCTCCTTCTGCCACATCTGGGCTGTGGTACCCTGCATTAAGAGCTACCTGATCGAGATCCAGTGCATCAGCCACATCTACTCACTGTGTATCCGCACCTTCTGCAACCCGCTCTTTGCTGCACTGGGCCAGGTCTGCAGCAACATCAAGGTGGTGCTGCGGAGGGAAGGCTAAATCCGGGCTGGTGTGAGGGGAAGGCTGGGCAGAGGGAATCAGGCCACGTGAGCACCACAGCTCTGCTCCACGTGAGCTGCCAGAGAGCTCATGCTTTTGAGGGTCCTTTCAATTTCTCCTCAAGATAGGAACACACCAGACAGGGGAGCTAGTTCCCATGTGGAAACACAGGCACCCTTGCTCTGCTCGGCCCACCACGATCCCCAGTGAGCCTGCCTGAGGGCAGACGGTTTAAGAGGCAGCTACCGCAAGGCTTTGCGTTCACATGTACTGTAATACCACAAACCAGCCCAGTCCTCTAGAGGGGTGACCTGGCTCCTCATGCAAGAGAGAGCAAGCAGTGACTGCGGGCATGAGGAGGGTGCTGCAATAAAGGGTTTCGGCTGCACCAGGGAACATCATACTTCGTCCATGAGTTGGTTGTGTGTCCTTTTCTGGTTCTGAAACCTAGAAAACTCAGTTGGAACTCTGGGCAAATTGAAAGCCATCACCAAGTTTTGTTTTCTTTAGGGTTCTGCTTGTTTGCTGGGCATGGGGTCTCCCATATGAAGAGATTTTTTTTTCACATGACTTCTGCTACCCCTGAAGCTGCTAATGAGTACTTAGGGCAGGTGAATGTGAGCATGCCCAGACAGGCCCAATCTCAAACCTGTTAGAATCTCTCCTCTGGCTCAGAAGACACTGAGCCCAGAGCATACCTGGCTCTGCTATGTAACATGTGTGTGCCCTCAGTCCTAATAGACGCCAACATGAGTATCTGAGGCCCAGAGTGTACAAACCTGGACTAGCTGTAAAAATAATAGAGTAAACTCCCAACACCTCTTTGTCTTCCCCAGAGAATAAACACACCAAACCTTAGCAATCTAGTTTCCGGATTGCTTTCTACACATGCCCCATTGGGAACTTGGTCCCTTCAAGGTGACACCAAAGAATCCCAAATCTCCAGTTAGACCACAGCACACAATTGGGGTTGACAAATCTCACGGGGGATTTGGTTCAAGATCCTTGCATCTTATCACAGACAAATGAGCACACCTAGAACTCCAGAGAATAACACCAAATCCCCCTTCTGACTCCTGCCACAGCCCACTCAGACATCACCAACAGACACAAGACCCTGGAGCCTGCTGGAGAATTAATATGAGAGGTCACTGTTCTGGAAGGGAGGAGAAGGCAAAGACAGAAAAAAAAAAGTTTTATTAAGTGCACCTTTTATGAAGCAGCTGGTAAAGCAGGATTGGCCACATCACTCACCAGATGCGGGGACATGGAGACACCACGCAAAGCCCATGGAAGAACAATACCAAGGGATTCATGCTGTGTGCAAAGTGGCATCTCATTACACACTGAAGCCAGGGTCATCGTCCAAGCTGCACAGACGTCCCCTTGTGTGACTCTGGTTTATACCAAAAGGAGACCACAGATTTTTAAATGTAGATTTTCTCTTTTTTGCAGGGCCTAAATAACTCTCACATTTTGCACACTGACTTCTCATGGTCAGAACAATGAAACATTCCAGAACATTCAGCATGTTCCAATTTAATACAACCTCAAGCCCTGAACATGAATTGTAAACAGGTTGGAAAATAGGAAGGGACGTTGGGGATTTCGAGTGTGGGGTCTGAGGAAGGAGGATATAGGTCACAGGACTGAGGGCATTGTTTTAGACCCCTGGAAATTCTAGGCTTTGGGCGGAGAAATAACAAGAAATGGTGAAAATATTCTCTTATGAGAATGAAGGTGCCAATCCAATGTTGCTGATGAAGTCAATTGTCATTTATGCTATACACAAGTGTTAGGACTGTAACAAGACCCAAGGTACCTAAGCTTTCACACAGAATGACACAGCACCCCAGTAGGTTTCAATGTCCAAGACCTTACACCTCTGGGGCTCTCAAGAACATGGTGCCCCTGTCAGAATATCTGAGTTACTGCCCCCATGACCCCTGGTGACACCTGTTGGCTTCTCATTGAACAGCAGAGGCAAAGGACATCTTCAAGATACAGATGCTACCTGACCCCCACCCTACTGACGTGTGTACCCAGGCCCCCTGGGGGGTCTAGAACATAGGCACAGGTGCCCCAAAGCAGAATCCTGCTAGCTGGTCAAAGAACTAGCTGGTGGTGACACTGCACGCATGAGGTGGACCACTGTACAATGCTCTTGAGTCCAAAGGAAAATGACATTGCCTCCTGTCCCCAGCTAGTGACAATGAGCTTGCCCTAAAATGTTGGACATGGTTGGGCACTGCAGCACATGGCCCCCTCCACCCCGAACACCAGACTGTGCTGGCCCACACTCATGTGTGCATGTGTGTGTATGGGTATGTGTATGAGTTTGGGCAAGTACTGCAGTGTGGCAGGAGAAAAAAATGTGTCCAGAAATGGGGGGGGAGGGTATAAAGTGGATCTGCATAATTGAGGCTTTTTGGAAGTACCCTTGCTATATCTCAGGAAGTCCGGAATCAAGTCTGGGTATTTCAAAGGTGCTCCACGGTGCACAGGGACCAGCCACAGGCAGAAAGCCACTAGTCAATTGTGTCTTGTGTTAATAACTGAAGGTATTTCTGAGACAGAGTCATATCCTACCCTCAAGGCTGAGAGGACATTTGAAATCATACTTACTGGATAAACAAAACCTTTGAAACTCCTGGGGAATTGCTGTTCTAAAGAAGACAGGACACTGCAGCTGCAGAGCATCCCCCAGGTCTTTGTTAAAGCCAGATGGGGGTGATCACCACTTTTGCCAGCCAGAATAGAGCCAGCCTCTCCTTCAGACACTTGGAGGTGGTGAGTCACAGGAGGAACAGCACTCGAGGAAGAGAGACCAAGAAATGCATCCATCATTTTGGTTTTCCCAGAACTCAGCTCTTGAACTTATTTTTTCTTGCATTTTTAAGTGTATATAGTTCGGTGTGTGTGTGTATGTGTGTGTGTGTGTGTGTCTGTGTGTCTGTCTGTCTGTCTGTTGCTTACATGTGAGTGTGTGTATGTTGTACATCCACATGTACATGTGGAGACCAAAGGTCGACTTCAGGTGTTTTCCTCCATCATTCTCTGCCTTATTTTTTATTTACTTATTTACTTTGAGAGAGAGTCTTTCACTGACCTGAAGCCAATCAATCTCCAAGGCTGGCTGGCCAGCCAGTCTCTGGCATCCACCTGTCTTCATGCCCAGGGCTGAGGTTTTAAACACATACCACCAAGCCTGACTTCTGCGTGGATGATGGGCATCTCATACTTGCTCAGCAGAGACTTCTCAAAGTGAGCCGTCTCCTCAGGCCCTGGTTCAGTGATTTTTAATATGGTCTCAAAATCGTGCACCCACCACACATTCCAAAGCATTTTAACCAAGTTCCCATCTCCTTGGGAATTTTAGGATCAGCTTATCAATTTCTGCAGAAGCCAGCTAGGATTTTGATGAGGATTACATAAAATCTGTCCAACAATATTACATCTCTGATCCATAAGCACAAGGTGTCCCCATTTGTTTAGTCACCTTTAATTTCCTTCTGTGGTGTTTGCAGCTTTCAGGGCACACGGCATACATTTCCTCTGTTAACCCTGGCCCTCCCTTAGTCATTCTGGCATGTTGATGAGTGGACTCTCTTAGTTCACTTTCCCATTGTTCACAGGAGTGTAGGGAAATGTGAATGATTTGTGTACATTGATCTGGTCTGGCATTCTGCAACCTTGCTATTCACCTGTCAGGTGGGGGGGGCGGGGGTGCTACTTGCATGTGTGTACATGTATACATATGCATGTGTGTGTTCCTTAGGATCTCATAGGCATGGGTCAGTGTCATGTACAAACAGTTATCCCCAGTCCTGTCTGTCCTGGGTGGTTCTCATTTCCTTTTCTTTCCCAAATGTTTATCAAGCATCAGCTTCTTCAACACTTCAGCTCATTGCCTTCCTGAGCCAGGTGGCCTCATGGTCCACACTCCAGTTCCCAGAGTTTTCTTGGGTCAGGCTGGTCCCTGAGGATGCTAGGATCTGTCCACACACCTTGGGTCACAAGGAAATCAGCACCGCTCTGCATCTGTGGCCTCATTTCCCACTCCTTGTCCCGGCCCACTTGGTTTCCTCACATAACTGGTCACCAATCTGAGGCTTACTGCCTTTCACAAGATCCCAGAATAAACAAGAAAAAACAAAAAATAGAATGAAAGCCAGGTTCAGGAGAGCCCACCCACCACTCAGGAGCACTCCAGCTTGGGTAGTAGAAGCACAGGTGGGAGCCCAGGTGACCCTCTGATGGCTGAGTGACTATCATCTCCCATCTCTAATAGAGACATTTCCCCAACCCCAAGTCAGACTATGTTCCCACGGTCCCGCCACTCCAAGGAGTGGAGGGACACACGCCAATAGGCACCTTATACAGCTCCATGCACCGCCACCAGGGGGCAGACTGGAGTCCACGTAACCCCTGCCTCAGGAGCGGTGGGCCAGGCAGGTGGCTCATGCTGAAGATGGCTGGGAGCAGCTCTTCTGACTGGAGCTGCGGCGACTCAGGACAAAGGTGGATGAGTTGCTCTTCTTGCTGATGCTTGTCTCTCCAGGCCGATTGCCCTTAAAGTACCGGGCGGAGCAGCAGAGAAAGCGCTGCACAAGTTCGTGGAAGAGGTGGCCCGTGAAGAGCATATAGATCCAAGGGTTGCAGCAGCTGTTGAGGCTGGCCAGGAGCATGGCAATGATGAAGGCAGAAGCTGCAGTGTGGGTCGGGAGGAAAGGAGAGAACAAGGGGTCACTCTGGGACCATCCCAGACCTGCCTGATTCAGCCATGGTCGACCAGGCAACAGCCATCTCAGGTGCCACAGGCTGAACCACAAAACAAGGTTCTCCCACAGCCTTGCTCAGGAGTCATTTCCCTATTTAAGTAGGACTCAGCATGGCCCTAAAGTTACGTCAGCCTTGCTTTTAACTCCAGTTTCCCCAGGCACCAAGGTCTCCTTCCTTCAGCTGGTGCTGTTTGCGTCACAGACACTTGCTCCTTCATCCTTCACCCAGCAAATGTTTGAGTGCCTGCTATTCTGACACCAAAGAACACAGGGGTGATTAGGAGATGCCATGTCTCTTTTGCATAGCCCAGCCAGTACCAGTCACTATAATCCCAGGATCTTCCCGGGGCTTCAGTTCCTTCATGTGGGACAATGAGAATTGACAATCTGCCTGGAAGTCAGCGAGGACCAAAAAGTGCCAGGTATACAGGAGTGCCCAGTAAGAGGTGGCAGCTGTCAACACATGCCAGGCACCCACTAGACTCTGTAGACACCAGAATGAAGAGACAAACTTACTCCTAGGTAATTTCAAGCAGAAGGAATAAAAACAAAACCTAGGTTTCCTTCACTGGCCTTAGGTCTAAAGAGTTGAGACCTTATAACAAGAGCTAAGTCTAGGTGG